GCCCCGCGCTCCGCTCGCCCGCGCCCGTCCGCCGGCCGCCTGCGCTCGCCCAACCGCCGCCCGCGCCCGTCCGCCGGCCCCCGCGGCTCCACGGCTCGGTAAGCGTCCTACTGGCCAGGGGTCCCCCTCGTGCTCGCGGGGTTCCCTGCCCCCGCGCCGGGGCCCCAGCCATATCTGGGCAAAATATTCAGCTGTCGCCGCCGCAGCCGCCAGGAGGGACTGAGCGTGGCTCCCTCTATAAATAGCCGCTGCCTGGGGTTGCCTCCGGGGCTGGAGAGCCGGGTGTCTGGGTCCCGAGTTGGGCGCTCGCGTCCCCACCACTTGGCGCGCGTGGCCCCGGCCAGGGCGCCCTTCTCTCTGGACCCTGGCGCCGCATCTGTAAACGGGAGACGGACCTGGGAGCTCCGGAGGGCTGGGGTCATGGCGGGGCCAGCGTCCGCGCCGCGCGCTTGATTCCAGCGCGGCGAAGCCAGGCGCCCCGGCGCTCAGCCGGCACAGGTGCCGCCGAGCCGGCACTCAGGCGCAGCCTCGGCCCGGCCGCCCGGGCTGTGCGGGGGGAGCGGGGCGCCTCCGCGCTCAGCGGGACTTGCCACTTGGGCTCGCGCTACTCCTGGTTGCGGCAGGAAAAGTTTCCCAAACTGCGGGAAACGACAAGGCTTAAAGCCCCACGGTAACTCGCCTTTCGCTCGGAGGCGGAAAGAAGAGGGGGAGAGCCTGAAGGCAGAAGTGCCCCCACCCCCGCCCCGGCTATCGTCTACCCACTGGGTGGACTTGATAAGCCTCCTCCCTCTCTGGGCCTCGATTTCCCCATTTGTGGGGGCAGGGTTTGATTCTGCGCAGGAGCTGGTGGCTGGGCCGAAAGCAGTAGGGCGCGCTCTTGACCGTCGGCGCTCCCCCCACCTGTTCACCAGCTCCAGGCCTGGGACCCTGGGGGGCATAGACGCGCACATCCAGAGGGGCTGCGGAGACTGGCGACTTTGCCGGTCCCTCTGACTCGGATCTTATACTAGACCTAGCAGGACCCTCGGAAAGCCTGGGCCATATACACCCAGGAAGCGCGCTCCACGGTAATTATGGGCATCTCTGCTGGGTGGCAGCCATCACCTTCGCAAAGAAGCTTGTGAGTCAAACAGCTTTAGCCCTACTGAACTGGGCAGGGCTAGAGGCTCCAGTCCCGCTGCTCACTGCCCTCTGTTTTCACATCTGTATGATGCTTATGATGCTGCCTCGGAGCCCTACACACACCTCCTCCCCCTCCCCATCTCTTCTGGCCTTGACCTTGGCCCTCTCAGACCCTTGGAGATGACCTGGCCTTAGCTTTTCCCTATCCGAATCACGAAACCAGACCCTAACCCAGGTTCTAGGCACTCCGCGGGAGCACCGGGAAATTTCCCACTTTTCTCCCAGTGGTGACAACCATTTTGTTCCCGGGGAAGGGACGCACAGCCCCCTGCTCAAGGTCACGCACTGCTGGGCGTGCCAGGCAGCCTCCACCAGCCTTTCTCTTCTCTTCTGACACTTGCTGCTCAGGCAGGTCTTGGGGATCCGCGAGCACCCCACCAGTGCTCCCCCCTTCTTTGGTCTGCTGTTGTCTAGGACTTTCTCTTACTCAGACAACAGCACCCTCGTCTGGAAGTTTCGTTTTTGTTTCTCCTTTACTTTGGATCTTTCTTTTTCCCCCCTAAAACCATCTTAAAGCCTCACAGATAGAATTAAGAAGAAATGGAAACAAATAGTAAGGGTCTTCTCAATTGCAGTGACACATCAAGTAGGCTGAGCGTGAGAGCAAAGAGTGCTGTCACTCTGATGTGTTAATTCTTTTTAATGAACCAGCCTTGCAGATCCAGGATTCAGAAGATGTTGACTCCTAAGTTTAAGTGGAAAGCCTGTGTTGTCTAAAAATAGCCTCTGCCCCACCTTATCAGGGTCTCACACTTTCTCCTTCTTCTGGGGTTGGGCTGCTTCCTGCTGCTCAGCAAAAAGCACAACCAGGAGTAGGTAGTGGCCGCTGTGAGTAACGGGCCAGCCTGGATGTTAGGACACCCTGCCTGCCTCTAACTTAGAGTGACCTTGAGCACGTGGGCATGATGTCTCCACTGGATTCCGTTTCCCTTGGAAGATTTTCTATCATGAGAAAAGTGAAGTGCCGGGGATGCAATTCAGGGGAACCCACCCTGTGAGGAGGAAGGAAGGAGCAAGGGGAAACTGGCTCCCAGGAGCCCTGGGAGGAGAGGCTGGCAGTGCCAGTGGGCGCAGAGAGACAGGACGAGGGCTGGGACAGGGCCACCATGATTGGCAGGCGTCATGGGTGACTTTGGCCAGGGCATCGCCGAGGGTTCAAAACAGGATCTGCCGCTGCTTTCCTGGAGCCAGTGGCCCAGCCAGTCTGAGCCCATTTCCTCCTCCATACAATGGGGACAGTAAGAGCACCCATCTCGCGTGGGTTTCTGTGGGGACTGGGGTCAGGGGGATGATGCGGGAAAAGCCTGCGCTTGTTACCTGCGATGCTGTGAATGCGGGCGAGAGGGGGAGGAAGCTAATGGGAGCTGAGGGTGTGGAGACAGAGCCCACGGCTCTTCTCAAAGCTTGGAGGAGAAGGCAGGGGGAGAGAAGGTAGTAGGAGCGGCGGGGGCTTCCAGGCTGAGGAGTGTGAGAAGGGGCTGAGCCAGGCACGGACCCCGGAGAGGGGAAGAGGGAGAGGAGTGCGTCTGACGGACTGGGTGGCAGAGGGCCTTCCTTCATCAGCTGCCGAATGCCACAGGCTCTGGAATTAGTCTCAAACGTCGCATTCCTCTAGATTCAGGCTGAGCGAAGAACGGGTAAAATGAAGCCAGTCCTGGCTCAGAAACTGGTGTCCCCTTGGGAGACTTCAGTATCTGTGACGGGGGGTAGTGATGGGCCACGAAGGGTCGTTTGTGGCTGCCAGAGGCCTTGTGACCTTGGCTGGCTTATTTCTGAAATGACATCATCTATCGATGACTCCTGCTGAGCCCAGTCATAATGGCCTTTTCCAGGCAATGTTTTGATTTTTCGGTCATGCTAATGGGCCAGCCAGGCTGCCAACATTTCTAAAGAGGCCATTTCACTTTTCACTTAAAGCCAGAACACCAAGTGATCAATTATTTGGCCACTAGGAGCTATTACCAGTTTAAAGCCACAAATGTATCTGTATGGAAAAACAGGAATCACATGGCAGGATTGGGGGACCGTTTCCTGTTTCTTGTTGTGTAAAATCCTCCTTTGATTAATCGCGATAAGACCAGACTTTCTGCTTTTAACAATAGGAAAGAGTGAGCTCATTGAAGTCAACCTAGGACAGCCTGGGAGTTTTTCTGCAACGTTAGGATGTGCTGGATCCAGATCATTTCTCATCCGAGAAACGCAACAAGCTCAAGCGTTTCTTTTGTTTCTCCTTTTCTTACATCCTTTTGTTTTCCTCTTGGAGAAAAACAATCTGTCTGTCTCGGTTCTTCTCAGGGCCCCAGCCCCGGCCCCCACTCACTCTGGGGCTTCTAGAGAGGTCCATTTCTGGGAGATGCTTCTGGTGGGTGATGAGCAGAAGGGCCCTGAGCCTCACTCAGCCTCCTTCCTGGACTCACCTCTGCCATCTCTTGAATCTTGGTGCCACTCTCAACCCTGTTCCTTTTCGCCCCACACCCTCCCACTGTCCTGTTCACTCCCAGGGCTCCTGCCACCCGCTCGACACTCAAACTCCCACACTCATGTGCCCAGCCTGGCCCACTCTTCTCAGCTCTAGGCGTCTATGACTCCAGCCTATTGGACAAAGCCAGAGGGTGTCCCAAGCGCACCGCACACCCAGCAGGCCTGACTCAGGCTCAGCACCCAGTCTCCTCCCTGTGTTCCCACCTCTTGGTGAACAGTAACATCCTTCACCCAGGCTCTGAGCCAGAAAGCCCCCTGCCTTTCACCATCCCATTCGTTTGGTCAACGGTCCTGTCAGTCTGCCTTGCTTAGTATCTCTTCTCTTCATGTCTGTCCCCATAGTCACTACACCAGTCGAACACTTTGCCATCTCTCCCCGGAGCTAACATCAGAGCCTCTTAAGTCTTTCTGCCCCAGTGTTTTCTTCTCATGCTGTTGTGAAAAGATCTTTGTATTAATAAAACATAGCTTAGACAGCATTATTCCTCTCCATTCAGGGACTCCCCACTTCCTACCGGATTCCTTGGCATTGATCCCCAGGACCATCAAGGATCTGACCCTAAGCTACTTCTCCAAAGCCATCCCTTGACACTCCTCCCAGTTCTCTGTACCTTCTGGTCACGGTGCAAACATATGTGACTTGACGCCTTGCTGCCTCGCTGCCTTTGCCCCTGCTATTCCTTCTGCGTGGAATGCTGTCCTCTTCCTTATCTGCATGGCGAACTTGGGCTGTTCATTCGCTAAGTCATGTCCGACTCTTTGCCATCCCATGAACTGCAGCATGCCAGGTTTCTCTGTCCTTCGCCATCTCCCAGAGTTTGCTCAAACTCATGTCCACTGAGTCGGTGATGCCATCCAGCCATCTCCCCCTCTGTCGCCCCCTTCTCTTCTTGCCCACAATCTTTCCCAGCAAACTTGTAATCCTCCGTTAGAGCAGAGCTCCTCATTGCTCACCTGCGCTCCCACAGCCCCAGCTATGGGGAGTTCTAAATGTAATCAGCTACTTTCATCCTCATCTCTGACCAGATGGATAGGTCCTTGAAGGCAAGAGTTTATGGCTCATTTATTTCTGCCTCCCCAATGTCGAACCCTGGGCAGAGTGCAAATGTTTTACATTTTAATCAATGACAGATCACCGAATGAATGAATATGTAAAAGAATAAGCAAATGAAAGCCCTGTGTAACCGTGACAATTAAACAACAGCTACGCTGTTTTCCCATCCCGCCACCTTGCCTGCTCCCTGAGGGCAGAAACCACACCTGTTCTGCTCCCCACCAACCCTGCAATCTCTTTCAGTCTTCTCACAATAAATGGAATGAACCCACGATCTCACTGGAAACTCACAGTAATCCTTAAAGGGAAGGAGGGCTGGTGTAATGACCCCTTTTTGTAGCTAGCCCAGTGAACCCCAAGAGGAATCATCCCAGGTCATCC